GAATAAAGCGAACGGAAACGCGCGAGAAAAAAGCTACGTCCTCTTTACATAATAAGCGGGCCGTCCCTCCCGTTCGTTTCTCCCTCGAGTTCTTCGCCGCTCGTATCTCTGTCGCTTCGTCCCTCGTCAACCTGCTCGTCCGCCCTTCTCCCCCCCCCTCACTCTCTCTCTCTCTCTCTCTCTTTCTCTTCTGCCACGGAAATTTCTTTTCTCCTCCACGGTTCTTCTTCTCTCGCGCCATTGCGCCTTCCTCGTCCCCGCGCTTTTCTCGCGTTGATTTTTTCCATCCTATCTCGGCTTTATTCCTTCGCTTTCTTCGCTCGGCGACAGCGGCGCGAGGTAAAGTGAGAGAAAGGGCACGATAGCGCGTGACGTTATGGAAGTTATCTGTGAAATAGGAATCTGCAGTCGCGAGAAGGAGGGAGCGCGCGAGCGAGCGGGACAACTTTTCTGAAGAGAGCGAGTCGAATGTCGAGCAAAAAGAAAAGAAGATAGGACGCGATGTTGCGCGCGTAATTAAAATCTTGCTTCAAGAGAACGTAGACGTTTTACGAGATAGGATCGCTGATGCGCGCCGTGACTCGTTTTACCAGCTACTCCCGGCTGCATTAGTTTTTATTAGCCATTTTATTATAATCAACGCCTTTTTAAATCTTTTCCTGTCATCCGCCGCGGTGCATCAAAGAGGAGATAGGGAGGAAAAAAATAACTGTCGGGCAAGGACTTACTTTGAAAGAATTTGCGTCGCGCGAGGACACGCGGAAGAGAGGACGCGATATATCTGATTTACTGGTCCATAAATATTCCTAATCTATACCGGAGGCATAACTCTTTCGTCCCTCCCCTCCCCTCAGCTTTTTGTCTATCTCTGTCTCCTTCTCCGGCCGTCGTGATTCGCGTTGCTGCATCCCTCATTCCGTATCTATAACTGCCCTTTCTTCTTTTTGCTAGCCCAGTTCTTCTTCCGCTCTGCATGTCCCGATGGAAACGAAGGCAATGGTCGTTCGCTGTCGTTTGACCAACGAGCTTGTTATTATACGGACAATACGGCACGGTTTTGCGACTCCCCCCCCCTCTTTTTCTGTCATAAAATATTTCACAAATATTTTAGAGATATTCGATGGACATTCGAGTCGAGCATTTGTACGTTTATTTATATGCTGCGGATTAGCGCAATTATACTTGTTTCGAAAACAAGATCGTATACGCGCGGCGTTACCGGGCGAACATTTCACCGTGCCGGTATAAAATAAAGTACCTCTCGTAACGACGGGATGCGGCTATTTACAGTTACGAGATTCGATGCACCTTACGAGCGACCATTGCCTCACGAGTTACCATTGCCTGACATTTGCATTGTCATAAAAATAGTGCGATATAAACGTAAATTTGAGTCCATGTGGAAATCCACACGCGTATGTGTATGTGTGTGTGTGTGTGTGTGTGTTGTGTGTGGAGGAAACGAAGGGTAAGGGGGGATATCGGTCCCCTCAGAACTTACTCTACAAACTAAAGGAGATCGCCGACAACGTGCGGGCGGTCGATAACGCGATATGATTACCGTGTAATTATGAAACTTAAATTTCTAAGTAACATCTTACTAATTAACGTTAACGACGCCCACTTTTTGTCACTCGTTAGGCGATCCTTTGGATATCACCGGTCGCCGCTCGCACGAGTGCTCTCTCGGCTCGGAAATTAAACGGACATTTTGCCCTTATCTCCGAATAATACCGGGGATCCGTTGGATCGCGCGGGAAAGGATCGATTTCTGCAGAGACGCGACGCGGGCAATTTATTTTTTGTATTTGTACGCGCGGATAAATACGACGCGGACGACGCTCTTATCCCCTTCACGCCACACACGTAATGAACACGATAAATTAACGTGGAAAGTTAGCCGAGTTTAAAGTATCGTCAGCGTTGTATAGTTTCGGAAACAGCGCCGAAGGCCAATTCGCTGTCACTTATGGTTTTGCCCTATTTCTCCCGCGAGAGAAGTAGCAGTACCGGCGACTGACTTTCCTGTTTGCCGTACTATCGAACTTTAATTAAGCCACCCTCCCGCCGCCGCCGCCATCGTGGAGTTTCGTTACGGATGACGGAATCGCTGAGAAACAGAAACTCATTGCCTCGCGGAATAATTACCACTGAGACATTGGTGTACGCGCAATCATTTATTACTGTATCCGTCCGCCACAATGCTCAAAGTTGGACAACGTTGGAACAATAAGTCGAGACGCTTTTCTCTTGCGTCGCTTTACGTAATCGCCCGTCCGATTTTCGGGTCTCCTTCATCTGAAGATTATACGTCGGCGACGTCTCGTTTTCGCGCTCGTTTATGATTTTGACAATCGCAAATATTGACGAAAGCGCGCTTCGTGCAGATTTTCTCTGATATCAACATGCACGAGGGGGATCGGATATAATCTCGTATTTGTAGAGTCGCGAGAAAATATCCGCGCGCCGTATCGCGCGGTTTTGCGATACGGCGGGATCTCTTTGCCTTTTCCTGGCCACTTATCGAACGATATCGGATGCTGGATGACACATCCACGTGTAGCACTCGCAAAGGCATTTCTTCGCGCACATTTTTCCCGCCCGCCTTGAATATTATATCGAACTCGGCACGTTCGGTCTTGCATCAACTTCGGCGCACGGATAATTATGATACGTATTCCGATAATATCGAAGTATTATTAATATGGGCCTCCGTATTATTCTTCAGCTATTTTCACTCCGACCGCATTTTATTTTCAATATTAGCCTGGTATTTATACCTGGCAGATAATGTTACGATAACGGTATCGAATGCACGGAATATTACGTATAGAATAAAAATGTCGGCGAGCTTTCGCGGGATGTTAATTACGAAATATCCCGCCCGTGTTTTTACTAATTTGTCATTATTGTATGTTCTTGCTTTATTACAAGCGCGCCACGACAGAGTATCGACAGTTTCGGAGTAATATCGACACTTGTTGCTACCGAATCAGTAAAAATGTCGATAACCTATTAAATTTAAGCATCCCTAGGCGCACGTCGCGTAGAAAAATGATTACTCATTCTATTCGTTCGTTATCGCTGCGAGCAGACTATCGCGGGCCGTTCGGGACAGTGCGGTGATTAATTGGCGAATACCATGATGCGGCAACAAAATATGGCAATGTAATGCCTTCTGATTCCACTTGTTTGTCGACGTGACTTTTTGCATTGCACGCTTAGAGAATATGGAAGCCCGGACAAGATTTACAGATTCACCGGTAGTTCGGCGGGAAGCGATTTATTGCCGGCATGTATCGACGTTGAATACATAATGAAATTATTGATCCTCCACGGGGAGGGGGGAGTGTGCATTAGTCATGCTGTCTATGTACCAAACAATATTTCTGGGAGACGAATTTACGGTCCGTATCTGCGTACTTTTGAGCGCGAGTCCCTCCCGGTTGTTTTTTCTTCCTCTCCCCGGTTCACGTCGGATATTAATCGGGACGTTCGCGCAATTTGCGGGGCACGCGCCGCGTGAAAATAATAGTCTGCAAAATGGCTCGCGAATATCGCGATGTCAAGGGTGTATACTATTATCGGAGGGGGAATCGAAATGTGTAGTCTCGAGCGTTGCGGCACACATCACTTAATGGGTTCTTCCATTACACACGTAATGCGAAATCGCATTAGTATCCGGGAAATGCTCGGCTAAGTCGAAACTCGGTATCAAGGACTGGATACGGAGGTTTCCAGAATTCGGAAACTCGGTGGCGATTACGTAGCTCCACGCGAAACAACGTGCATACCTATACCCTCTTCTTCGTTACGTTAATGAACGTATGGTAATCGGACCGTGGTCATTGTATTTAAACGTCCCGTGTCTGCAAATGCCGCGCGCGTACCAGCTGTAATCTTTCTTATTTCGGATAATGACTCTTTATAATTGCGCGCGCTCTCTCTCTCTCTCTCTCTCTCTCTCTCTCTCTCTCTCTCTCTCTCTCTCTCGCTCTCTTTCATTCTTTCCTTCTCGGTGAAAACCACCCTAGTTATATAAGTTTAACGGACTCTCGTAACATATGGAGATACTTAAGTCAGAATCCTGCTCGTTTTCTGTTTGTCACAGCAATTAACATAAAACAGATTTTTTTCTGGAATCCTATAGAAAACTACAAGCTCATAAACATGAAAGGAGGAAGATTTTTTCAGTCTTTCTTACAACGAAAGAAGAAGGTTTCAGTCTTCCTTGAAACTTTTTAAATGCATCACTTAATGTTACACACGATCACAAATAGTTTAATACATACTTCGACTTTTTTACGTTTTTAAATTCTACTTTGGTGATTTTATTCGTTTCAAGTATTTGATTACATTCGCGTTCAGGCAAACACGTTCTATGAGTTTAATCAAAATTATGAAAATGCAAACAGAACTTTTGAAATCGCATTCGCAATAAACATGCAATTTTATTTTCGTGAAACGGAAACGTGACATTTCAGCAAAAGTTTCTGCTCACAACATTTCTATAATTTTAATTAAAGTTATCAAACATTGTTCGTCACACTTGAAATGAATAAATAATAAAAGTAGAATTTGAAAAGTTCGAAGTTTATATTTAATTACTTTGGTCACATATATAATTAATATATTTCCCATTAAAGAAAAAGAAATTAAAGAGCTTCCATTATTTCTAACAATAAGCAAAACAATAATAAAAAAAAATAAAAAAATTGTTTAGCAATATTTTTATATAGATTCTCGGTTAAAAAGACGTGGAGGATTTTAAATACTAAACTCTAATAATATTACGAGGACAATCTATTTAAATATTTTTCCGATTTCTTATTTATCTTTTTTTAAGCATGTGTCTTTATATAAATTTAATTTTCTGCGTATGATTACTGTCCTGATTTGTACTACTCTCCGTTTGCGACATGTTGGTATTAGATACCGGCTTTGGCGTCCGGCGCCAAACGCGTAGTAGAGGCGACACCACCGGAGGTGGTGTGGTGGAGCGGCTTGGTAGTCTTTTCAGCCCTCGATCCGCAGTCCAACGCGATCCGCAGACTTCGACGGTCGCCTGTCTGCCCGACGTAATTTTTCCGCCGTCGCCGTTCACCGCGGATTTTCTTGATCGCCGCTCCGCTTGCCATACGTGTTTACTCTAGTCCGATTACATTGATCAATTGCACGCACATTCTTCCGAATATTAATGCGGGGTAACAAAGCGTTAGATAAACTCGCAGACACTGTAAGCCCGCGAAGTTACAATAATTTCGGAGTGAACTCTTTATTTTGTTCTCCTGTTGTTTAAAATAATTTGTCTGTCGCGCGTGCAGATTTGTCGAAACATTGAAGAAGTGATGCTTTAGAAAAATATGAGGCAGTTGGGATTTTTATTGTCGGAAACTGTACAGTGAAATGCCGGTAAGAATTTATAAGAATTTATAAAGTTTACCACAATTTGTCGCTTAGATGTTTGCGAGAAAGTTAATCCCGTCAAGTTGCGCATGTAAATTCGTAGAAAGATAAGATAATGTTGTTGTTTTCATGCGTCGAACGATGCGATAGGAATTCGAATCACGCGATTCCAAATCCTATTTATCATTTTCTGTTATGAAAACACAGGAGAAAAGATTACAAATTGAGTTACTAATACGACAAAATATTTATCAGAAATAACACAAAAGACACTTTAATGATTTTGAAGAATATTCTACTCTTAATTTATTATCGAAAACAAAGAATATTCGAAGATAATTCAATATATTATTATTAATTATATTAGATTGAAGTATTTTTAAAGTATTTGTATTTTTGATTCATTATTTTTGGCAAACACGTATTTTTATAGCCTACTTTTAATTCTCTATACATCTTTTTATTAAATAAATCTTTTATTATTGCAAGATGTCGAAAAGGATTTATTGTGTAAAAAGTTTTATAATTTTTTACTCTACAACGTATTACATTTAGCGGATGCACGATAAGTTCATTGTTTCTAATCTCGACAAATATATCGAAACACTTTAAACTTTGTTACTTCCTGTCTTTCACGGGTGTCCTCTGAAAATGTACGTATTTAGCTCCGTGTCGTAACTCGCTAAAATGAACAAAGGCAGATCCAGTCCTTCGTCAAACGCTCTTAATTATCTTGTGCCGTTTTAAGCACCCGCCGGCGTTTTGTTTTACGTACGACGAAATAAAGGCGGCTAAACGATAGCATCGACAGGAAGAGACGCCGGGATGTCACCTTCTTGTCTCAGAGGGCAAGACATCCACGTTTCGCGCTGGCCGCCCTTAATTGGCTCTAATTAATGACCGGCTGTCATCAGACCCGTGACTCACGGCGCGTGCAACTCGAGCAGAATTCTAGCATTATCGCCTCTTTACGCGCTGCACGTTTACCAAGATCCTTGAGATACAGACTAACATTTGATACAGCAGTGGTTTCCACAATGATTTTAGGCGATGATAAGATCACGAGAAGTTAATATAAAATTTAATAAGTTCATATTAATAAAAGATATGAAACTCGCATAAGATTTGATCAAATTAATATCAAATCAATCTATATAGTTCCCTTAGAACGTATTAAGAGATTATACTTAATGAGTAGAATTAAGCAAAACTAGAGCGAACGAGTCAGTTTCTTTCATAAAAATCGAATTTTGTTTTTATTTTAACGACAAAAAACGGAATTATTTGCAAGATGTTTAGTCTAGATCTTTCAGATCTATTCTATACACATACAGGTATGCAAGTTTTAGTTGTGTAGAGCTTTATTTAATTTCAGTTATATAAAAATCAGAATTATTGTATCTATTTAGATTTATGAATTTCTTTACGTTTAGAATATTCGTATACAAATTATTTCATCCTTTCTATTTTGCTTTTTGATTTTTAATTATGTTCTGATAAATTTTCTTTGACTAAAGATACATTTTAAAGTAAAATTTTGTTCTATAAATTAAGGAAAAATGGAACAAAAATTTTTTTGACACATCTAAAAAAAATTTGCATCGCTTCCTGTTTCTTTCACTGATATATTTCAGTTATTATTACTCCTTGATATCCAATCTTCTTTATAGCTTTTCGTTTCTTGATGTACCGTTGTTCTCTACATTTTATTTCTTTATTTCCGTAACGTGTAGAAAATATGTTCTCTTTTGTATTTCGTAAAATTTAAAAAAATTCTAGTTAGAGTTTTTGTAGAAGCTATACTGTTTATCGTCTCGCTATTTGCACTCTTAAACTTTTGTTAAAACTTGTCGAACCTTGTTAAGTAAGCTCGATAAAATTTATAATAGACACTCAGTAAAGTTATTATTATATAAAAAAATATGAAATATAAATATAATAAACGACAGACTACAATAAAACAAGGTTTTTTAGAAAGAAAGAAAAGAAAGTAAAGAAAGTAAATTTTGAGAAGTCACATTTGCATAAACAAGGATCAAAACTGTGGCGGTAAAATCGTTTTGTTTGAACGATTAAATTTAATTGAATGGGTTTTAACGTTGTGCGTGGAACCGCACGGAATTTTTATGTTCTTCCGCTTGAGAATTGTGTCTTGTGGTCAATTTCGCAAGAACGAATACGACCCGTTTGTCGCTGGAGGGAGGAAAACTCCGGGTAAGCTGAATTAAACCGCGACTAGCGGGGGATGAATCATCCCCCTTCCCTCTCTCAGAACATGGCGAATCGAGACGATCGATATCAAAGGCATCTTCGTGCCGCCGTCGCGCCGGGACCTTTCCACATGCATTCTTGAATATTAAAACAATATCGATCCCGCGTACTGAGAACAAATGTAACAATCAATTATGCAGCTGACGTGAAACAACCGTTCGACACGATCAAGTCGAGGTCTATGCTTTCGCTTTCAAATGTGACGCGGTGCATTTGAGCAAAGCAATTCTAACACCCGGGATGAAAATTGGAGAGGATAAAAAATTTTTTAAATTAACAAAATAAAATTTACACGCATGGGAAAAAATTATGTTTAATTCTTATCACGTGAGTTCGGCGTCGTCGCGTCTACTTTCATAGCATATCTTCCGTACACTTCCGGTTGCGACAGTCGTTTCATTGTATACCCTGCTGAAATTCCGGACAATAAGAGACAGTGTAAGTGTACATGTTGAGTTCAGAGTCGCAGTTGATCTTGCCTTAGCATTGTTCTATTCAAGATCGACGCGTGGGTACGATGTTTAAGATATTGTTGTTGTTAATATATAGAAACATTTGTATTTAACAATTGCGAATATCATGTGAATTTTTACTAAATGATATCTGACTTGGACGAATTAGAGGCATTATATTGCAATAAAGAACCGTAAAGTAAATAATTTTTCGATATGGCGAAACACGATCTAGATTAAATTTCACTTAGTAATTTTAATTTTAATGTTTGTTTTAAATCCAACAGAAATTATTTCGCCCGCGAGTCAAGGTTGAGACGAAAGTCGTTTATTGTGCTTGAGAAGAAAGCGATTCTCATCGAAGATGAGAAATCAGGCGACGCTAGCATGATCGACATCGGTGCGATTGGTATCCTGACACTCTTCCTGATCCTCGGCAATCTCGAGGCGGTCACAGTCGTGAACCACCATTCTGACGATGAATACGTCCTGGAGCACGAAGTCCTTCGCAAGGACGCGCTCGCTGAAGCGAAGAAACTGGAGCTATATCCTGGTGAGGATAATTTCTCGTCACTAATGTTACGAGCGTTATAAAACCGTGGAAGAAGAGAGCAGAATTAAATTCTCTTAGAATTTTCTACAATATCATTATTCGGTATTAATTTAGATTAATTCTCCTTTACTGTTTTTGATCAAGATTATTTGTACAAAAATAGTACAATATAATTAATAAGTTATACAAAAATAACATTATATTATATTGTCTCACATTAAAAAATTATCTTAGGAGCGTTTAGCGTACGACACGTGTGTATTGTCTTTACACATAAACCACATTTCAAGGATTTTATAGCAATCTAATATAGTTTAATCAATTTTATTTTCCTTTAGCAAAATTCGAATAGATAAGTTAATCAGAATTCTCCAATGTCGCCAGCGGTAATTAACAACGTCAGTGTTTTCTTGACCATACCTGGCATCTTTAATATAATACAGAAAATTTATTACGAAAGATATTACCTCAGTCAGGATTTGAACCTGCACCTCCTCCCTACACTCTAGGCGGGCGTCTCACCAATTCGACCACCACGAGACATATAATATTTTTCGCAATAAATTTTCTGTATTATTAAAGATGCCAGGTATGGTCAAGAAAACACTGACGTTGAATAGATAAGGTTTTCTTTTTCATTAAAATATTAAGTATTAAATATTCCGACAATAGGTTTCAAATAATAAGTTCGTTCAAGTAAAGTTATCTCAAAATAAACGGAAAAAAGGCTAATTGGGCAATGAGAGTATAACATGGCTATTGTTGATTCTTTCCACGAGTTGTAGTCATAATGAAATACATGATTATTTGACTCACAATACAACAATAACGGTGTTGTACTCTCATTGCCCATTTGCAATTTTTGCGTTTATATTATCGAGAGTTTAATTAATTAATTTTATCTGAAAATAATAAGGGAATTAATTGCTATTTGCAATATTTTTACTTAATTCAATTTTGTGTAACAAAATTATTCATCCATGTTGTTTATAAGAAGAAACTGTCGAACGCGCCTCGATATTCTTTTCGAGGATAAATTGACGAAAGTAAATTTGACGAAGGATCTATTTCTAAAATGGGTTCCAAATGTTACGATATATCCTGTACATGTTAGCAGCATTCTTGGCTTTTTTTCCAATCTAGCCCAGTTGCTAAAAGCATCGCATTAACGCTCTTGTCTGACTCCTACGACCGGTCTATAAAGCTTCCTTGCGGTACACAGAAATGTATTTATCTTACTGCCAAGAATAGCTGCTTTGATCCACCTAACCAACGACGCACGATTGACGTTTCGAAATTTTTGTTCTGCCAATCGCACCCTAGCCGGCATGGACGAGAAAGGTATGCGTGAATAACATTTGCGGAGAACAGAACATGCCGTCTTTGCATTTAAGTCATAGCAATGCTTGCTATTTTATTTTAAAAAAAATTTTTATAATTTAAAATGTAATAAGCAAAATATGCTCACTGCGAAAAGTATCAATATTAGGAGAAAACAAAGCAGAAGAGCCAAAGCAAGATATTAGTATTGACAAATGTATTATGAACAATTACATGCCTGTGACAAAGGCCTGATGACAGGCTGAAACGTCTATTTTATTTGTAAATGTTTATAATGCATTTGTCAACTTTGAAATCTTGCTTTGGCTCTTGTGCTTTGTTTTTTCCTAATTTTAATAATTCACTTTTATATTACTTTTATATAAACAATTGCAGGCTTGTGATAAAGACTTAATGACAGACCGAAACGTCTAATTAAAATCGTGCTTTGGCTTTTCTGCTTTGTCTTTTTCCAATTTTAATAATTTATTTTTATATTTGGTGCATGCGCTTCCATATGTGTACTATATAAAACATAATGTTTTAAATATTTACATTATTAATAAAACAGATTATATCGAGCATATATGTAACGTTCGACAACTTTCCAGTTACGTATGTGTAGGTTTAATATAATATATATTCTTATGATCTCAACTACTTATCACAATTTACTAGAAACTAACAATCAGCGAGTTAAAGTGTTGTGCACTTTCCAATATTAACGTATAAAAAAAAATCTAATTTTTCTTACCGGGTTCGGATCACACTTTTTCACGCTTATTTTTGGCATATTGTCAGCACAAATAATTCTGCGTGTTGTACGAGTGCTCTGTTGTATGTTCACATCACATCGTGGCACCTGATGATGCTGTTTGCATCGCAATAGCGCGGCCAGCTGAGCACGTGGCTCTCATTACATTAATTCAAATGACCGAGGAAGTCGATGATTACCTCTGATATTATTCGCGTGAATTAGGAATTGTCGACCGTGCAGTTCCAATTTCTGTAATTCAATCCTTCAGTCGTGGCTTGGAAAAACGAGCGACCCTCGAGCGAGCATCGCCGATGCACCTGTTGCTCAATGCGAGTGAATTTTCAACGACTTAAACCCTCAATTATTATTTAGCATTTTTCTCAATTGTTATCAAGTGGCGAGAAAAGTCGACGATTACCGTATAATGTCGTTAGCAGCGATTAGAAATTCACGGTCATTGTGTGTGCAGTTCTCATTCCTACAATTTAATTAACGATCTCCATCGAATGTTATAAATACAAAGAGTATACGCGATCGCTCGTCGCGATTGCAATTTAACGAGGCTTCGATTTTGCGAAGGCGAAACGTGTATAATGTATTCGCGATCGATGCTGATAGGACGGTGCAACGCTATCGTCACAGGCAGATAACTCGCTATGTCCGCGACACGATTTCATAAAGGATTACGCAAGAAGCCTCGAGACGCTAATTAACGTGAATCATGGATGGCGGATTCGATGCGATTGTCATGTATTTTAATCGCAGTCGCCGGCAGTCGAGGTTAATGAAATATAATTCCTAATTAATAAGCGGTCGTGCGCTCGGCTTCATTCTTATGCCTGGGAAATGCGACATCCCTCCCGTGTCATTTTACCCGTCCAGCGACGAGGATTGCAGATATTTAACGATATGGCGGTTTCCTTTTGATTAGTAATTTTTCCTCAGCGCGAGCTCTTTCATTTTGTCTAATTTTCTCTTTCTCTCTCTCTCTCGATTTATTCGTGCTAATCGTATCTCTCGTTTGCAGGACCCATTCCGGGATGCAAGTCTTGCACCTACTCCGAGATGACTTACTGCGAGAACGGCAGCGTTATCAACGATCATTGTTGCTGCGACGGCAGTTTCAATAGTAGGTATTCGCGCGGGTGCGATTAATAATTAATAATTGGAGGAAGGTCCTCTATTATGAGATAGGAGTCTGACACGAGGTAGTAGGTTTTCAACGTCCAAATTCAACCACAGATCTTTTTTTCGCAACGATTACACGATCTAACGATCAATTTTCCACTGAACAGATCTCGCTCCAAGGACAATAAATTTGTGGCGGAACCAACAGATGGTGCCTATTAATTTCGTAGAAACTCCGCTATCTCATATTAGGAGCCCATCTTGTATATAATAGGGGACTTTCCTCTAATAATTAAGTATCCTCGATAAAGCTACGCGTGTGCCTCCGTAGCTCGCTTTACGATGAACTAACGAAGCGGCACGCGATTTATCGCGGCGACAACAACAAGCCGATCGAAATCGGCTTAACCTTCCCGACGACGGAAGTTGTGTTTTCCGCTCTCGTCCTTCGTTTATTCACGCGGCGAGAAGTCGGATGAAAAACCACGGTCCCCGGCCGGCGAATTCGTGCGTGAACAATCGGCCGTGGCGAGCGCGTTGTGCAACCGCGGCTTCACGGAAATTTAGAGCAACGGCAATGATAGCGAGCGCGCGGATCGACGCAATTTCGCGATTTACACAATGCCGACGAGAGCCGCGCGACGTAATCGCAATTATTTTTAGTCGATGCACTACGTGCGGTTACAGCTCGAGTTGTGTGTTAATACGAATAACCGTGGGACCGACGGGATGTTTATGTACATTACAGAATTCCTCTCGGGGTCAGAATGTTTTGGAGGCTTAAGAATTACTTGCGTAACTCAAATCTGAGCAACGCGATGTAAAGGTACTAAATTATCGGTAAATACTAAGTATAAATTTTTGAAGCCTATGGTGTTGTACGATCGCGTTTAAAGAAATGCGCGAACACATTGAAATTAATAGATTTGTATAAAGAAATCATTTCAATCGCGTTTGTGTATATTTTATATTTTACAAAGCAAGATCTATGTTTTACATTATTCCTCGGATTAAAAGATTAGATTTTTATTAACTCGAATTTGTTATTATAACAATTTGTCGCATCTAAAAGATCTTACAGTACTTAAGAGCTGAATGAAAATCGACGAACAGTAATTGAAGAATTGTCGATTTTTAAATTTGAATTGCCATAATTATTTTAAGTCGGGATTAATTTATCGTAAGTTATTTCAACGATTGTTCCAACTGAATATCGTCTAATCGCCATGGTTTGTCGACGTGAAGATCATAATTTCTTTATAATACATCTATATCGAGAAGAGCTTAATTCTCCACTGCCGAACGGAAGGGCAGTCACCTGTTCAGGAAATCATTGCTCGTCGTAACGAGTTATCCTTGTCTTTCACGCGCGTGTGTAAAATCTAACGAGTGATTCACTCACGCGCGAGTCATCGAGCGAGTCGTTTGCGTATTCCGCGCGCTTCTCGAACTCCACGCGTAGGACTATCGTCCATCGACCTGCACCACCTTTGCTCGAATTTATAATTAGAAAAATAACATATTAGCACACAATAACGGAGATAACGCGTTATTCATGGGACGGATTATATTTCAATGCAAATATGAAATAATGATATTAGCACGTGTGCAAATTTCTACACTCTTGTCTGCACTTCTCGAAAGAAATAAATATCGATTTGAAGAAATGTGCCAATGCATTGGAATTAATAAATTTGTAGAAAGACAGGATTTTAATCGCGTTATTTTACGAGTCTGTATATTTTATAAAGCACCCGGTAAAAAACTTTTCATTCCTGAGCATGAATAAATATATAGAATTATATAAAAATATATACATCAAATATGTCCATACATATTTTTACATTGTATATTTCTATATAATTCCATACAATTATACACAGTTCTATATAATTTGATAGATTTAGACGTGCTTTTACAAGAAAAAAATTTAAAAGAGAAAAATTGCTCATTTATAATTGTATATAACTGTGTACAATTGTACACAATTATAAACAATTTTTTACATTAAAAAATTTGTCATGTAAAAGCATGTGTAAAGCTATAAAATTAATTCTATAATCTATAAAATTATATAGAACTGGGTAGAATTGTATAGAAATATACAATGTATGGACATATTTTTGATATATATTTTTATATAATACCATCTATTTATGCATACTCATGCATGAAAAATTGTTTAACAGGCAAGGTCTAGGTTTTATTTTGTTTTATTTAACTTTCACGCGGTTCAGTCATTCAGAAACAGAAAAATATAGAAATACTATCGCAGAGTTAAAGATACTGGAAGAAATGATTTATGAAGTATTTGTACTTTCGTTCTTTAAGACGCTGAATTTTCGTTACCAAACGCGCGTGAAGATTCTCTAGGTGGTGCACGAAGTTGCATTGCTGCACGCAGCAGCTACGCACGTCGAATACCTAAAACTCGAATCACCTCTCGATCGCGTCCGTGAATCACTGGTGCGTTTCGCGCTCTTTCCTAATCGCTCGCGATCGATTAAGCACCGGTTGTGCCGAAGTGTTGCTCAAGAGCGACCTTGATCTATACCTTCCACCTGTGCACGTTTTAGAAAATCGGGATTGCAAATACTCGAGTCACTCGTGTTATCCTCTCCGGAACTGATAGCGCGCCGGAAATTTCCCGATATCTCGTTACGCGAATTCATTATCAACCCGCGAAACCGGTTAATTATCGCAACTTCTACATTTGACGCTCCGCGCGAAGGTTTTGTGTTCAAGTGTCCCTCCCGAGGTATAACGCATACAATTATGTTTGTCATGCTTTAACGACAAAATGCCTTCATGACGTCTCGTAATTTCCTACTGCAATTGCACTACTTAAGAACTATTAATCAATTATTTACAATAACTCCCGTATTAACCCGATCAAAGAATAATGGCAGGCGACCATCTAAAAAGCCATAACCATGTACTTAATAAAAAGGCAAAGACACCCAAAAGTATCCAGCGACAGGTGATATACATAAAGACGCCAAGTATAAGCGCCATCCAATCAAGAATTATATAATTTCATTATTTGGATATATTTTATTAGAAAACAAAAAAACATTTTTATCTTCTCTACAAAAGTAGCGATATTATCAAATGGCGCCGACTAAAATAAATATTTACACAAACCAGATACTTTATTATAAACAAAAGAAAAAGTAACAGACGTACATCGCACAGTGAACAATAAAAATTGAATATATTGGCCGTGTTATTCCTCGAAGGCTGGCGACTGTCAAAATGTCAAAATCACGGGAGTACATTATTAAAAGAAAAACTGCTCGTCACGAGAATGTAATTTATCTGTCTATTGTTACAGAAGTGTTTCCCTTCGTCGAGCACACTTGTCGCGTGGGACCAGAGGAATGCAAGGTGCACGCTGGAGACTGCGCGGAATACACGCGACTGCGGGAATGCTGTTGCCATTCGTACTTGGCCTCCGCTTGTAAGCGTTAAAACTTTTCTAAACATTTCGTAAATCATACCCTAGGATCAGTATTTTACTCTATCTGGTTTTTGTAAGTTGTACACAATTATTGGAATTTATACGATAACAATTGTACAGTGATGGACAGGTTGCGACACTTTTTTTAGATTACGTCCGAAAATCTTCTCCCAGGATTATTTTACTCGATGGCCATTACAGAACGATTTTTTGAACATTTGCAATCTATTTCTTAAATAAAACTTTCCTCGGAGAAAAATTTTTGGAACGTAAACCTGAATCTAAATGAGCGTTTCTAAACTTACTAAAAAAAATTGTCGCAACTATTCTGTCCATCACTGTACATACGTACTCGTCTCAGCGATTATATTGTGAAATACGAAATACGTTTTGTTAATACGTGCACATACGAGTTCGTTAAAACTTTATTTTTAGGCAATCATGAAGACGGTTGTAAAGGATGAGAGTTATTTAATAATCTATATAATAATTTCGATAGAAGGGTTTTTTTATCTCGACTGGTTTTGCGAAGTACAATTTTCTCAGGATACCTCGAAGTACCATTTCTGAATTTTGTTATACTTTCTTTATACGATATCAAAGCGATATCAAAGCGATATCGTTCATATAATAATCTAGAAGTTGTCAATACAAATGCAAAAATATACTCTGGAATTATCTGATACGAGGACTATGTTCGAATTACAAACCTTTATCGCATGTAGTGTCTTTTGAATGGAATCCGACGGCGATCGTATTGTGAAACAGAAACCTTGGCTATATTTTGTAACATTGATGGATTATTTTTATAATTCGTATAGCAAAGAATATATTTCTATCAACCTCCAAATCTTTTTCCAGATTTTTTTCATCGTCGCGAACAACGAAAGATATTTAGAATAATTCTGTATGCCATTACTTTAAAATAATACACTTTGTCATTTAATGATTATATTATCATAATGCAATGTAATAGCAAATTAATAAGAATTTCTTTTGCAGGGAAATACATGGCGAGTGGTGTAGAATCGCGGGCCAGTATAAATTTCATAAAATTCGTGATTATCCTAACGATTCTCAGGTTACATCTGTTATTGGCTTGAAACTCACCAAAAGTTTTGTATATCATATTAATTATTTTAATAAATTGTTTTTTATATCGACTCAAGAGAACTGGTACTTCTTTGTAATTTGATAAGAAGTGATTTTGACTTGAATGACTCTGAACTTGAATTAAGAAAGTAAATAGTAGAATAGGTAGAATTTTATCGTTCTAAAATGTAAAGCGAACGGAATTAGGAAACAAGAAAGGGGACAGTATTTATGTTCCCTCTCATTTAATTATTTTTAATACAATTTTCCAAGACATGTTTATAGAACAGATACTAATTGCGATAATAAATTGTGTATATGTACAAAGAAGGTCTGTAAATATATTTTACGCAAATTTTCAGAGTCTTAATTGTAAACTAAGGTATAAATATATAAATTATTATAGAGCAGACTGATATCTTTTGTAAACAGAAAATTGATAATTTAAAAGTAAAAAGTTATCAATCTAAAACAGGTACGTCTTTCACACGTTGAGTAATACATTGATGAGTAAAACAGATTTAATGCAATGTTGAACGTTTCGTGATAATATGATATTTGAGACAGGATCGTTAGTGACACGCGATCTATTGTTTGAAGCTTAATCGCTATTATGGCAACATTTATGACACATTCGCGACAAATAAGGGATATATTTATTTTTTAAGCTCCATTGAGTATCATTTCTACGAAGAATTCTGGATGTGTTAACAATTAAATATAAAAAATGCTAATTTCTAATATTAAAAACTGAATGAAGAACTCTCGAGTTAATATATATTAACTTTCTATAATTAACTCTCAATAAAAATAATATACTATTAAGAATACTCTTAAAAATAATATACTTTGCATTTTTGCAACTTACATATTTGAGAGGAAAAAGTTTGCTTGTAGTAGCACATAAATATAAAATATTATAAAATTGTGAAAAATATCAACAGTTGTTTCGCTAAGTTTGCGGAAAATTTTGATTTTTATCAAAATTTAATTATTTGAAATTTGTGTGTTACGAGTTTGCTTGTTAAATTTGTTAATTTTAATTATTATAACTTTGTTATGTGTGTTATGGAAATATAAACGGCGTATGGCCGTATTCTCGTGCTCATCATTCTTTTTTTCTCATTATAAAACTTTCAGAATGATTAAGCGTGATAATTCTATGCAAAATAATTTTCTCTCGACTTTCTACCTAACCCGCTTTATTTCAACCTACATTTCTTAATTTAACACACATGTCCTAATTTTAGTTTAAAATTGACAGATTGTGCCGGACAGTAAATCTTTTCGTCCGCAATAATGAACGTCAAGTGACAATCAAATTGATAGCAAAATTTAAATACTCGTATATTAGCTAAAGAAAGAAATGGGCTAGTATTTTATAAAAATTATCTTTTCTCATTGAAATTAGTTCTTATTAAGTAACTCTTAATTTTAAAGAATTACAGTAAAGTTGAAAATTAAAAAAATTATGTAGTACGGTGTGATATAAGTACATAGTACAATTATAGTAATATAATATAAAATTTCGTTCCTCTAAAATTTAAAAATATATGATTTTAGAAAATATAAAAATGTATATTTCATTTGCAATTATTCCAGCTGAATATTTGATGAGAAGTAATATACTTTCTTTTTGGCTTTTTTCCTTTGAAAAATTGTTCTTTCTATCCTTTTATACATATTCTTTGATGATTAATACGTACACTGGGAATCACCAATGCTTTCCCACATGAATTTATGCACATATGTGCATATATTGATATATATCGACACATTTATACATTTTGCATATACATACATGGAAAATGTATGTGCACCTGTACCTAAATTCATATGAAAAGGCATCAGTGATTCTTATAGCGTTTTCGATTTTCTGACTCGACCCGACCCCGAGTCAGAAAAGTTTGATCAAAAGCAAGATTTGAACCACAATTTCTACAAAAATCTTACTCTTGATCAAACTTTTCTGATTCGGAGTCGGGTCGAGTCAGCAAATCGAAAACGCTATTAGTGTATAATTCGTGAAGATAGCTGTTATTTTCCAACGCCAGCATCTATATCGTCAGTTTTTTTCGACTGACCGGCATATAGGAAGAGAGAGATGATCGTCAACCAGTTACGAGTAACGGGTACGTCGACCGCGTTCTACGAGGAAGGCGAGGCCCAGCTAAAAGTTACGTGGGTTTACGAAAGGAAGAACGAAGAGTAGGAACCGAACGATCTCATTTGTCTGAAAAATCTCGGCCGTGTTGAGAGCAACGAGTGCGCGCGGAAACTTTGATTTCGTTTGGAGTTTTAATAAGAAATGTCGCTATTGATCCTTCTTGGCGTGCTGTTGCATTGTTGTGCGTTTGGTATATCGGGTGAGTTAATTTAATTAATTACATTACTTAATTGTACGTCACAGTAAACGTATATTTTCCCTTATAAAAAGGAAGTTCGTTAATTAAAACGCATTTGTGTGTAGTATCTTTTTGTTTCGGAATTTTCGTATTGCAACAATTTCCGCAAAATTGTTGAAAATATATATTGTGTTTCG